CGTCCACCCTTCCTGGACCCCTTTGCCCTTCAGGACTGTCTCCCAAGGGACTCTCTCAACCAGCGTCCTGAACAGGCCAAAGTCTGCCCTCCGGAAGTCCATGGTTGCAGTTTTGCTGCCTCCCCTCCTTACTTCACCAAGAGAAGAGAATTCTATCATTTCATGGTTGCTAAGCCCAAGACGGCCTCCGACCACCACATCTCCCACCAGTCCTTCTCTGTTTGTAAACAGCAGGTCATAGTAGATGGCTTTTTAAATTCCTTGCCTCAGATTATTCAAGGTCAGTCTATGCCTGTTTGTTCTTGTATTGAAATTATCTTTAAGGTAACTGCTCTTCTTCCTCCTTGGTCTTTGCTCCCAGCATGCACAGACAGAAAACAGGAACATCTTTTTTCAACATTCAATTTACTAGGATCAATAAGCTGAGCTTTTAAAAATGGTCTCACACAGCAGGCTGTCCTTTCATCTAATCATCATAGCAACCCTTTTGTACACCAGGCTGGAGCTCAACCTTCTTACTGTTGGAGAACAGAACCGTATTGGAGTATGGAGTACTCCAGAAGCCATCTCACTGCCTTGAACAATGTCAGTAATACTTCTTTATCTGTACAGAGAAATTTTAGGATTGCATTTTCCTTTTTCACAGCTGCATGGTGATGGCTCACAGTCAACATGGGATCAGCTAGAATACCCAGATTCTCATCTGCAGCTATGTCCAGGTGATCAGCTCTCAATTCATAACAGAATTTGTTTACTATTTCCTAAATCCTTTGGTCTACAGTATTAAACTTTAATCCCATTTTTAATAATCTAGTCTTCAGTGTCATTCTGTTTCTAAACAACATCCAGATCCCTATTATAGTACATAATTGGTATCAGGAGAAAGATATCATAATCTATTTCCACTTTGTGTATCAAGGTCATGCATTAAATGTTAAGATTAGTCCTAAACCTGATCCTGGAAGAACTCTGCTTGTACTCTCCCAGCAGCCTCCTTCACTAGTCACCGCTATCATCTTCCATTTGCCAGCTCTTTACTCCTTCAACAAATCTACTAATCTTCATTTTTCTCCAAATTAATCAGTCACTTCCCATGTGACACGCTATCTTTATCAGAGGTCACAGTGAACAAGATTACTGTATTTATTGTGACAACAAATCTATTCCGTCATCACAGAATGTCAACAGGTTTGCCTGCCATGAGCCACTTTAATAAATCCTTAAATAATTTCAGTCTGGTTTTGCAACAATTATTCCTCTCTTTCTCTATCTTAAAACTAAAACTAAAGATTTGCTTTTCTCCAGTGCACACAATGCCACCGTCCACAGCTTTATTAAAATCACCTGCTATCACATCAGTGATGTACCAAGCCAGTTCTTCCCAGAATCCTAAGGTACGGATTACACATTTACCTCAACTTAAGCATATACGACTCCTTGAGTTTTCCTTAGGATTTGATTACTGTCATTTCCTCTTCCAAGCACTTGCTGACATTTGCTATTTCTTCCTTTGTCCTCCATTTTATTGTTTCTGCCTTTACTGAAAACTTAGGCAATATATACATGTTTAATTTAAAATGAATGAATTCAGGATCATTTTATCTGACAGTTTTTATGACTGGCTTTTCTGCAATGTTATTCTACATTTTCAAAATCTATACAGCATTCCCTCCTTTTTATCTACTATTTTCTGATAAAATGTGTTAACTATCACATCCACTGAGATCTGTGCCTCATCATTATTACTAGCATTTGGTTTTCAGTCTTCATTTACAAGTATCCCATATGATGCAATTTCTGGAAGTAATCTAATAACATTACATCCAAATTCATCCATCCAAATTTATATTTATATCTATATTTGACTGTATGGATGGGATGCAGTCTGAGATGAGGATATCTACATTTGAGTCTCCATATGTGAACTAAGCTCCTACTAAGAGTCACAGTCAATACAATCAATGATGTGCAGAGATTCATTCAGCTGAGCAGCTAAAGAGCTCAACTCAGTTGCCATCTGAGATGCCCTAGAGTGTCCAAGACATTCATGTGTGGCAGATATGACACGGAGATTATATTACAGGAGAGACGTGTCCTTCTGG